TTTTAAAATATAAAATTTTTTTTTTTAAAAAAAATTTTTTTTATAAAACCCCCCCCCCCCCCCCCCAATTGAAATATTGATTTGTTCCAATGTTTGGAGTCTGAAACTGAAATCTAAATGGTGAATAACACTGATGGTGACTAAATATGTTTCAAACTTGGACGTGTCTTATTTTCTAGCTAGATGTTTTCTTTTGTAGATACTGTGGCTTTTGGGATAAAGTGCATTTGCACTTGTTATTTGCTCCTTTCATGCAATTTTGGATGCCCCAAACACTTCGAAAGACAGGTCAAGCTATGGTGAATTAACGTTACAATATGTGCTCATTTTTTAACTCTATGGCCTCGTGAGCTATTGTCTTTTTTCTTTTGACCTTACTGTATGTTTTGATCTCGGATCATCATGATATGTATGAAAAGCAGTAGCTAACTATCTCTGTCTTTCATCATATGATTTAGGGTAAAGAGAACCATCAAATCATGTGCCAATAAGATGAGATTGTAACCTCATCATACATGTTTCATCTTTAACTGATGATGTTTCTTTTGCTTATTGCAATGCACATTCTCATTCTTGTAATAGTACTTGTTGTGACTAGTGATTTGGATGTTTGAATAGTAGATTAAATTATTGTCCCCGATCTTAAATAATTTTTTCTTCTGTCTACTATTTTCTTTTAGCATTTAGTGACTTTGGAGCTTTCTTTTACTTGTTCCAAATATAGTGCACTTTTCAATCATTATATTTCATAATATACAGAAGCATGACATAGCTCAATGACCAAGTGAAGAAACGCCTAAAAGTTATTAAATTATATCAAAAATTTTGAATTTTGGTGATTGGTAATTTAGTTTCTTCTAATAGCGTGATTGTATTCTAAAATTCTTAGTTGATAGAAGATGGTATAGTCTATTGGTTTTGTTACAGAAGTTATATGATCACAGAATTTGAGATTTTTTTTTCAAAAAAAAAATTCAAATGTTATGGTTTTAAACTTTTAATTGTAGGAAAAGCTTGAGAACTAATCCAATCATGATAATTCAACCAGGTGCATTAGTAATATCTACTTTACATAGTTTATGATGCCCGAATACTATATGGTTCATTTTCATCTGATGTTTGAAATGCTTGTCTAGTTGTCTTGATGGTCTTGCTCAAATCCATAACGAAATGGAGCTATATAATCCATAAACTGAAAACAAATACCTGAAAAGAAAGCTTGGCATTCATTCCATTCAAATCTCAAAATAAAATACTTTTACATAACATTTCTTTTATACTACCATAACCATTACTCCCGTTCAATATTTGGCTTTTTTTTTAACAAAGACGATTTCTGTTTATACATACTCCAAAATATAAAGAAACAAATTCATTTTTTGTGATATGGTTGCGAGGATGGTGTGAGTGGTTTTACCTTTTGTAAAACCAAATGTGAGCTTTTCCTTTTAAGTTTAGGTATCTTTCTGATATTAAACTCAATGATTTTTTTTTTACCTTAATTGACAAATTAGGCCTTTTTTATTTTCCTTTTTTTATGTTCCAACCTCTTCATTTTTTTTCTAAAAGATTTGATTTGTATTGATTTTTTTCCTTGCTCATCTTCAAATTCCAAGCTTATTCTATAAGTAAGTGAAGACTAAAAAAATGTTTTGCTATGCATTGCTTTATCCTTTTTGCTACATATAAATTATACTATTATCCTTCCTAGTGGATCCAAAAGTTTTTCTTGGTATGCATCCTTGTGCTTGATTGAATATTGTTTTGAAGTTTGTTACACCCAACAAACTACAAATAAATGTTTTTGTCATTCATTTGTATCATCTTTTCATCAATATGAAATATTTAGATAATTATTCTCTCTATTTGGCTCATGCTTAAAACCTCTATATATCCTTCCCATCCTCTGATTTCTGATATTGTTATACTTCGATCCTTCTCAACTTGCCTTGTATATATGATTTTCTTACCCTTCATTTAGCAAAGAGAAATTTACAATTTTATATACCTTCTTGTATTGTGAAAGTAATGAATGTGTCATGTAATGGAATATTAAGCTATACTGAAGCAACTTCTATTCAAAAGCTAAAAAGAATAATGAGTGCAACCTGCAGATTTTTACTTCTCTTTACAACAAGTAAATGATGAGCTTATTGTGCTGGTCTAGTCCCTCAATATACTATTCTGGTATCTTTTTAAACAATTATGTCGGAGTCGGATAAAATTATTATAAATGATAAAATCCTTTTTCTGAATATTTAATGTAGCTGCAATGTAGCTGCATATTCAAGATAAGGATTCAAAACTATTTTAAGTTGGAACAATTGATTCACATATTCTTTGGTGGTCTCCATCGAGTATGCTTATTGTACATGGACTCCGTTTACAGATAACAATTGAATGACCTTGAAAAGAAAATAAAATTGATGATACTTTTGCCTTAATGATACTGCAATGTCCTGTCAAGTGCTAATAGAACGATATATCTTAATGAACCTTAACATTTATTAAAAATTTTGGTGTATTAAATTTACGTGTGAAAACACTATTCAATTTGTTTGACATTTTGTTGACTTATTCCATGTTATATCAATGTCCTGCTGAGTCCTGTATTGGGTTTGTACCAAGGTCTTATGGGAAGGTTTCCGTGTAACATTTAATTTTGCCTATCTCTTGGAGATATTTAACTACGAAGACCTTTTCCTCCTTTGGGAGCATTTCAACCATTGAATTAAAGGGTGACTAAGAGAGAGGAAAAAAATTAATGATTAAGATTTATCCTTATTCAAGGTAACTCATAAGGAATACATGCCCCCACACATGATAGGTGGACAAAATAAAATAAATTAGATTTATAAAAGTTGCACTAAACTTTTTAAAAAAATTTGTCTAAATTGAATTGATTTGAAAATTAGTTTAGATAAAATGAAATCAACCATTTTTTGTTTCATTAAATTGAATTCTAAATTATAATCTAAATTTCACTAAACTATTTATGTCTTAAACTAAATTATTTTAACTCATTGACATGTTGAAACAGACTAAATTGGCTCATTTTATTTTCTATTTTTATTTAAATTATCCAAAAAAATAATAATAAAAATACTATATTAAATAAATCATATAAATCTTGAACTTAGAATTTTGTAGGTCAACGTAATTTGATTGATCCGCAAGACTTGACAACCTAATCCAATTATTTTTAACTCATTTTTTCTTATGTTCAACCTACCGAACTAGCTTGTTGAACTAAATCATTTTTTACACCTCTAATTTTTATTCCTTTATAAAAATAGTTCAGTTTTTATAGTTTGAGTTAAGTTCACTGCTAGTTTTATATCAGTTTTTTTCCACTCCCACTTTCAAGTTAACTTGGTTTTTGCTAAATATTTGCTAGTTAACACGTGATACTTTCATTCTATTGAAATATACTCCTTGTCAAAAGAAAGAAGAAAAGAATATTAAGTGACAATATGATAAAGTTGATGAGTTCCACATAAAGCTTGACAGTGTGGAGGAAGGGGAACGTTGCAGGATATGGAAAATGCTACTACACAACATTACGTATGTTGGATATATAAAAAGCATGTTGTTAATGTCAGTAGAGAGCAACATTTTAGATCACAATCTATTGAAGAAGGAAAAAGATGCTGCTACAAAAGCAGTTCAATAATGATAAATTGTGGTCCCCTAATGAAGTTAAGTTGGGAAAAATGGGTTGGGAGTTCGTAATAAATGCAATTATCCAATTAGATACCCTTGACTTAGGTCTGGTGGCAATGCTACTGTTCAATTAACCGTTCGTTGGTAGGTATTGTTAAGCATATATTGTCATTGATATTTTTTGGAAGACATAAAACGGAGTAAATTAGTACAAGGTATTGTGCGTGAATAGTACTATTAAATGAATCATAAATATATATAAATATTAAATATTTTTTTATCATAATTTATTTTATACATAAGATCAGAATTTGAACTCTAAATAACTTGATTGATAGACAAAGGTTGCTACCATTTAAACTAATAAGTTTCGTTAATAATTTCATAAGTTGAAGCATATGGAAAGGTATAAATCATAGGGAAGATGGACCACATGCTAGCTCCCTTTAATTCATGTGTTCATGATTATGAAGATCACAAGGACCATATGCAACGTTGTGGACCCAAATTTGTGGACCATGTGAGGCTAGTTTGAGCCCGAAATCGGTGCACTGACCAGGACAACACAACATGAATCCAAAGCCCTATAACTCCAGAAGCCGCATGCTAAAAGTTTCAATCTTCCCTAAGTCGGACATTTTAGTCATAATTGCATGCATAAACATAGTCTTGAACAAATCCAATACTCTTGTGATCATCTAGATTCCATAGTATAGCTTAAGCTTAGGTTAGCATAGCTTAGCTTAGAATAAAAAAAGCAAAATGGAAATTTCAAAATTGGATCTAATGTCATAAATTTTGGCTTTTCTTTTCTCCCATGCTCTTTCCACTCCTTGTTAATTTGGCCTCATTACATATTATGCTAGTCTAGTACTAGTTACGAGGAATGTATCCATCATTATAATGAGACTGAAGTGTCAATCCACTTCAATTTTATTTTAGAATGACGAAAACTAATTTTGAGCAAGTAATTACATAATCATATGTTTATAAATTTGGTATTAATTTATATAGATATAATGAATATATGAATATCTTTTGCAACAAAAGAAATAAATGAATATTTTCAACAAGTATAATTAAGGGAAAGAAGTAGTACTTCAAAGAAAAAGTGTGTTAAATTTTTCTTTTTTAAAATGAAGATTTATTAAAACGATTTAACACTTCAATCAAGTTTAGTACAAGAGATCGAAGAGTGAAGAAGCAGGAAATTTATAAATGACTCGACACGATCAACTAAGTATATAATAAATTTTCACCTAACCTCTCTACTTGTTAGTCCATTTGTTTTTCATTCATATACGTAGGATTTGCTTTCCTTCCGACCATCCCCTAATCTCTGTACGTAGGATTCATATATTTATTTTGTTCATGGATTGTAAAAGCAAAGGAGAAAACAAAGACGTAACGTAAACAATTTCACAGAGAGGGGACAAAGGTAGCCAAAACAAAGATGTTGGGATAAGAACTCAATGACAGTGGACCCAACAATGAGCCAACTGCTGAGGTGGCTAAAACACTTCACCGAGGTAACTTCTTCATGAAACCCACAGAGACGTTTGTCAACTCTTAAAGAAAAAAAAAAAAAAAAAAAAAAAAAAAAAAA